CGAAGTGAAGAGAAAAAAATGAATCATATTTGACATAAAGTCCATCTCATTTTAACAGGTTATAAAAAGGAACTCATTTGATTGATTGCTTATTGCACTCGAAATTCGGGGCTCTGTTATTAATTAAATGAATTATCCAATAGAGTCATCAAATAATAAAAAAATATTTCTGCGGAATAAAATTTATAAACGCAAAAGACTTCCGTGGTGGGATTCAAGCATTTAGTGTAAAGCAATTCTCGGTAAAAGATTTTTGCTCAAGTTGTTTGCATTTTTTGAAAATGGTTGACTTTAGGGCTGGCGACGTGAGGATGGCTTGTGTCTGAGTTCAACATTAATCAACTTAATAATGGCGCATCCTCCAGGTTAGTGTAAGCCATCCAGATCTCGACCGAAATGGACGGAAACTACTTCGTTCAAATCTGATTACGGAACCGGTGTGGCTTCCGATGTTGATTATTATTTCTCCGTTACCCCGCTATGTAATAATCGACTATAGTTCCGAATGCAATATAACTAATACACGCAAAACAAATGGTCCCAGTGTGTGAACTTTCTGAACAAAGGTGAACTACTAACGTTAGTGAGTATACATTGGGAAACTATATTTATTCCAAAGCAGTTACCCCGGTTAGTGCATGGTTTTGGTGACGAAGTTATTCACTCAGCTGATGAAACGAGAGAACCAAAGTGTATGTGAGAACCGGTGAAACCAGATATTTTGGAAATACGGAAAATCAATAGACAATTCTACACCGTGACCGCACTAGCGCGGTGAAAAGCGTCGTCCCGTTTTAAGTACCGAGAAGGGAATCCAGTTTGGAACATCGTTGAACACTCTTTTATTTAAGAATGTGGTATCCTCAGAAAAACGCCTCGGCCATATTTACAGGTGCGATGGCAACAGGAACAAGTATAGCAGAAGCAACGACATTTAATGGAGAATCAGGATGGGAGTCGAAAGACCCGGATTCAGGTGATTCGGAGACAGCTAAAAAAAGAGATAAAAAAGTCGGAAAAAGGGCAGCAAAGTACTAATTCTAACGAGAATGCCGGAAGCAGAACCAAGCTCAGCAAAGAATCCGAAACAATCAGCGACGAAAAACCGAACGGGAAGTCCGCAAAAAGCAGCGCAAGACCCACAGGTGCAAGAATAGAAAGTTCTGGTTCCTAGTGAACGACTTCGACGTACCGGAGACACATCCACTACCGGCGTAACCGTGTACTACATATTGGGTGAGTGTCAGAAATTAGCGATTGGTTTAAGCAAGGCACACAGTGCATTGCTGACCAGCAATCTCATGATATCACTACGGCTGCTGGTACTTAAATAATTGGGAATATTCGTGCTTGTGGCTTTCATAAAATAACCCTATCTATTGAAGTCCATTCCCATTTCCATTTCCATTCTTTGTTTCACACCTCGTCAATGGTAGTTTATGGTGAGTTGTCTATAAAATACTCATTGCATGTGATCTGTTTGTTTTATATGATTCTCAATTTGCCAATTTTAAGTTATGCATCTCAGAATAATGCTCCATTCAGAAAGATGAATTAATTTAAATACTTTCCACTTTAGAATCAAATGAGTAGAGGACCGGAAACCTATCACTCCTATTTACTTTAGGCATATGCGAGGATGATAATGAATCAATAACAACTTTTAATTGTACTGCTTATGTTTGTTGTTAGGTTTCATACCTCAAGCACATTTCCGACGTCAACACGAGTAAGAGCACTGAAGCGTATCGGAAACCGTTGCCGAAATATATTCGAGTATACAATAATTTCACTGTCAAACTGAAGGTAGGTTTTGATAACGAACTGTTATACCGTCAACAAATATAGCCTCAGGATGCAATAAATCACCTTATGCAAAGTTTTTAGTTCACAATGAATGAAATCAACCACAAATGATTGCGGATAAGTGGGTTATTCGAGGAGCAAGCCGTTCGAAAAACGGTAATAGCTTCAATTGAACATCCATTTTTATTTCACTATAATAACATAAATAGTTATACAAAGTTTGACTAATGTCCATCATATTCCACGGGAGAAGACTACAGGCATTATCGTAACATTTTGTCACATGCATCAGCTGATGTTCATGAAAGGCTCCAGGTGCTCTCGGTAACGTGCAACCGCTATGGTGAAAACATATGGAACTATAAACACGTTCAATCCAAACTGTTTATTGGGAATGTGATAACGGCTTCTGGCAAATAATCTACCACAGCCAATACTGATAGTGAAATAAGCTGCGATCAGTTGTGCACGTATTTTGTACTGTTATGCTCATATGTGAAAATGTTTCAAAAGCATTGGAAACGCAATAAATCATTTAAAAATTTTAATTGGTGCTTCTGTTAACATCAAAATTATTTTTGAAAGTATTGTTCACAAAAGAAGTATGAGAACATAGCGAGACTTATAAAATACTTGTTCAGAATACGCATAGCTTCCGTCCTGACCTGGGATGGTCACGTGCAATTCCGAAGAAGTGATGCTTTCATGGAACTGAATAGTTGGTGTAATTCGTGCTGTCCTGCTGGTGATGTGGATTTCATTTAAAATTTTGTTAAAAACGTTTTGCTTTATTCAAAAAGGAAGCTGTAGTATTCGAAATGGAGTTCCGACATTCGCGCAATACCGATCCCCGAAGTAGAACAACTTTGAACGGAATAGCACCTGGAACTTGATGGAATCATATTCTGTGCATATTCAATGCCTTTAAAGTGTTCACTAGCTTTGTGCTTTGGAACATATGTCGGCATCCAAGTTCGGCCACCAAAAAGTTAATGTAGCCAATGACTTCATCTTTTTTATCCCAAGATGGCCGGAATGTAGATCGTTACGTACAGCTTTACATAACGTCGGTAGACTGACAACTCCGTCGTTCAAACACGGTAATCCACCAGGCGTAATTGGAAGTTCAGCACGTCTAGCATAGTGATATGGAAATCACTTCCGGCTCTGGGCATTCCAACCCTTCCGCAAAGCGGTCGTTACAGCAGAAAAATAATGACGTTTGTCACAAATAAGTGCTTGATGACTCACAGGGAGAGGCTGTACCAGTAGTGAATCAACATTGTCCTCTGGTTGAACCATTGTACATTTCTCCTTTACCAGTCTTGGATTTAAAGTGTTTCAGTAGTCATATATTCCGGGAGTCTTGCCGTCCGACTTGAGTGGTGTAACGATTGGTGTACCCCATGCAGACGATGCCACCTTCTCCGTACCTCCTTTGGAACACAAATTGTGGAGTGCATTCATGACAGGTCCTTGAAGGCCGTATATGATAACTGGGCGCTTGAGAAAAACTGAATCCCTATTTACTGGTGGCTCTACTGGAGGAATTTTCATGCCACCACTGGCCTTTGGGCCTTTGAACCAACAATAGGCAATGCACATTCAGTGATGCCATTTGTGGTGACAGTGGACGGCTGGAGTTTAGCATCTGGAGCAAACAGTTTTAAATCGTGAACAGAAATTAGAGACTCCACACTACCAGTGTCCAAAGTGAAATGAAGTGAATGGTTGTTTACTAATGTGACCGGATTGAGAGGTAATTGCCAAGGATGGAAAATAAAAATGTTGGTCTACGTCAATCACATATTAATCATTGGATTGAATTAAACAACAGCTTTGTTACTACGACACAGATTGAACTTGACTGGCTTTGCTATACTTGTGTGATGAAGCGTAACGAAATCAACATGGTAATCTGGAATGACTTTACCGCAGGATGCACAACTGCCATCGGACTTATCCAAAGATGTCACATTGTGAGCAAGCTTTCGTAACCAGTTTGAAACTTCGTGCATTTGGTTTTGAGTGAGTTAAACATGGCTTTAGATTGGATGGTCGATGGCATGGATGAATTAACGGCGCGAATATCTTGATATTGTTCACAATGGGCCTGCAAATCTTTGAACGTAGGAATGGAAAGCTTGAGAAGTTCATTTTGCAAAACAGTATTAGTATATCAGCAATCAATCGATCTCTCAACTATATGTCCAGTACATGTTCAAAGTCACATTTTACAGCATCTGTGAGCAACTCTTTGTTCGAATTGCGTACGATTGAATGAAACTTTGCCCTCTCTGAGGCTTCGACGTTCGTCGGCTTCACATGACAACACCCTTAGAGGGTTCTGTTTGTCCTCGGTTAACTCCTTATTGCCTTAATTGCTAAAGGTAGGTGGTAGCTTATCATATAATCGCTAGGCAAACTGAACCTCATTGCCGAACCCAACAGAATTTGCATTTGCTTCTCAAAAGCTTTGGGTTCTAAAATGAACAGTTTTGAAGTGATTGTAATAAATGATCAGAAAAGAAAAATAGAACCAAATGATAGAAAACATGAACCTTATTTGATGAACATTCGAAGCAGAATTTTATAAAAATGAAGAATAACGTAATTCAGTTAGCTGAGTGAAAAACATTA